GCGAAAGATATTGGTACTTTCTAAATCGACACGTAAAATAGTACCTTTTCCAATTTCCCGATTACCACATTATTTACTGATACATAATAAAATTTCGAATACATTAAATTTATAGGTCAAAGTCACGTCTATGTGATAATGCGCTTACCAAATTTTCTGTATAAAAACAGGCGCATCTTACATCAAACTCATTCTGAAGTCATTCAGTGAAACAACATGGCCGCTAAACTCATCCTCTTCGTCTGCGCCACCGCCCTCGTGGCACAGGTACGTGACACGAGTTGATCGACTGTTACTACATAATTATGTTCCTTCACTACTTTGAACACAATGACACTGATAGAGCTGATGGTGGCGTGCCTCTCGTGTGGAGCCCCTAGCCGTGAAGACACTGAACTGACTGACTATTGAGAAACCAATCCATTGGTATTGGAGACACACAAACAACTAAACAGAACATTCTGTTATTCCTTCGATTGTTGTGAAGATCCAAATGACTTGGACTCATATTTCGACAAACTGATTGAATTCGACTTGTAATTTCGTGTTTCTTCAAAGCATCTTAACATCATTTTAATTATTCTGTTCTTTCAGGCTGCTCTGGGCGTTGGACCTTTCGGCGCTGGACTCGGTGGTTGTGGCTGCGGAGGTCGCGGCTACGGTGGTTACGGCTACGATATCGGCGCTGCTGCTGCTCTGGAAGCTTCTTGCGGAGGAGGTCTCCCCGTCGTCACCTCCTCTGCTGCTCCTACTGGTCTGGGTGTAGCTTCCGAGAACAGGTACGAGGGTACCGTCGGTGTCTGCGGCAACCTGCCGTTCCTTGGTACTGCTGATGTTGCTGGCGAGTTCCCCACTTATGGTTTCGGTGACATCAACTACGGCTGCGGTGACGGCGCTGTGGGGATCATCGCCGAGGACCGCGCCGGGCTCGGCTACGGCGCTGGTTACGGTCTCGGCTACGGAGGCTACGCCGGACGCGGTTGCGGCTGCGGCTGCGGTGGCATCTGATGAAATACTCCAACATGACCCTGGGCTTTTGACTTCAAATTGAAATAAAAAGTTTTAAATTGTATTTGCGAAGTTTTTTGTTCATTCTGACGACGCGATCAAATTCTATTCACACGAATAATTCAAATTTAAAAACAATATATAAACGCTACCTATATATACTATTTCGATGATAGCTAGATCTAGTGAATCAAAGAACTCATCGTCGAAGACAAGCGATGCTAATATAGTTACTGGTGGTAGGACCTCTTGTGAGTCCTCACGGGTAGGTACCACCGTCCCGCCTATTTCTGCCGTAAGGCAGTAATGTATTTCGGTTTGAAGGGTGGGGCAGCCGTTGTAACTATACTGAGACCTTAGAACTTATATCTCAAGGTGGGTGGCGCATTTACGTTGTAGATGTCNTAACTCATCGTCGAAGACAAGCGATGCTAATATAGTTACTGGTGGTAGGACCTCTTGTGAGTCCTCACGGGTAGGTACCACCGTCCCGCCTATTTCTGCCGTAAGGCAGTAATGTATTTCGGTTTGAAGGGTGGGGCAGCCGTTGTAACTATACTGAGACCTTAGAACTTATATCTCAAGGTGGGTGGCGCATTTACGTTGTAGATGTCTATGGGCTCCAGTAACCACTTAATATCAGGTGGACTGTGAGCTCGTCCACCCATCTAAGCAATAAAAATAAAAAAAAAGTTACAAGACACGAATTAACAAAATATACTTTACATTCGTTTGACGGGGTTTTCTAATGCTCTAGTTGCTTTAAGAACGGTAGAAGAGTTCATGATTAATGTTTTGGTACCATATACTGGTGGTAGGACCTAGTCCAACTGGCTGGCGACCACCCTCCAACTAGAGTCTGTCGCCAAATAGCCCAGTCGTGATCCGACGTGTGGGTTGGAGAGCCAGTTCTATTCCTTCCCTTTCCTTTTCTTTGTTGGAGGACTAGATGATATCTGGAATATGCGGAGCAGAAATGCGTGCGGGCTCGCGGGACGTGATTGTTTGACGGGGGCATGGGGAGACCCAGTAAAATGGTATTCGCCGCTGCCCGCCAGTTAGTAGGGGATCTGAACCCGGATGCCACTACTGAACTCCGCCCGGGAAGCTTTCCCGCCAACCGGTGTAAAATCCTGTCGTGCGGTTGTCGTGTCAGAGTCGGAGACCGAAGTGGACCCCGGCGATCGCTCGCGCGATCGGTTTCACGCTTTATTCAGGTGTTGTCATGATTTCACTTCAAACAACTAACCTCACCCAATTCCACTCTCCAAAAATAATATCATGAAAGACAAGATAAGAAATAGGGTTTTATCGGCGATTTTCCAATCCACATATAATACGGATTTCCGCAATGTTAGGGGCCTTCATAGCAACCTTAACACTTTACACCACCACCTTGAGAAGGCGCAGCCTACCCTACTTTTTCAGATGCAGATATCTGCTCCGGATGATACCTTGTACCTTGAATACCCTGGCTGGGTATTGGAGCACAACCTCCTGCGTAAAACCGGGGTGTGTGTATTCGTCCGGGCTGATGTCTGTTGTCGTCGTCTTCGGGCCCTCGAACAACGGAACCTGTGCCTCTTGTGGCTGCACGTAGATCAGGGGGGGTTGTACCCGAATCTACGTCTACCTGTACAGGTCCCACAGTAGTGATGCAGGCTCAGCTCTGATTGAGCGTGTGCAAGAGAGGACTAACCGCGTGCTTGAGCATCTGCGGAGGTGGTTAGTTCTTGGAGACTTTAACGCTCACCACTAAGAGGGATTGGGGTCCAGAACTACTGACCTCCCGGGTCGGGCTGCTATGGTTTCGCTTTGGCCTACGGCTTCTCCCAGCTAGTGACATAACTCACTCGTGTTCCAGATATTGAGTTTGAATGCTATTGTTCTGAATTTGTATAGTTACATGTATGTAAGCTTATCTTAAAAATATCTTTGGCGAGATTCAGGCATCTGTCAAATATCTTGTGTTTCGCGACAGCTCTTGTACAATGTCAGTATTATAAATAAACATAAAAACAACTTAAATTAACTTTTAGATTCCTCCTCGCGATATTTTAGTGAAACGCACATGAAAGATTTTTTCGGTACTGCATTTTTATGTCCATACCAGACAAGACAGGGAAGATCGAGGGAAAGAGACCGCGCGGGCGCAGTCCGACAAGGTGGTTCGACCAAATCCGCACCACACTAGAGATCCCATTCCACGACGCCCTTCATGCGGCCAATGATCGGAGGCGCTGGCGTGACATCACAAGGAGTAAAATCATGTCGAATTATAATGGTCACGACCCTCAGCAGTGAGGAAACGACGCGAGGAGGAAGACCAGATGAGCTACCAAAGATGATTTTTACACTGTTCATTAAGAACTCTTTTCAGACCACATTTTAAGTTCAATTACACCTTATCTTGCTGCGCCCAGGGTATCGTTCTAGAGACGGATAGTACTTAGCAAAAATCATGCCTTACAATGCACTGTCGATAAGCGCAGTGGTTCAAAGTGGTCTCTGCTTTGGTGTCGGATGGTGCTATAGTAAATGGTGATGGGATCATTTCCAAGAATTTTTTCCCTTGGAATTTAGAGGTATAGATTTAACCAAAATCGGTCCGTTGACTGGTGGTAATTTGGTACAAGAATTCTATGAACGACAAATACCGGCTCTTTGGAAGACTAGCATTTAATGAAAACGATGCAATAGCTGACTTTTGTATTCAGACAGGGTCGAATTGAGAACCATATTTATCAGTGCTTTCGACTTTATCCAAGCACTTCTGTCCCAATTAACTACAGTTACTGAGCAACAAGAAAAAGCATTTATGCTGTTGATATTGTTTTATTTCGTTTGGAGAAGGGGGTCCAGGAGTCGTTTTGAATCATTTCTTCAGATGCCACCGCATCCGCAGCCCCAACCGCGTCCGGCGTAGCCTCCATAGCCGAGCCCGTATCCAGCGCCGTAGCCGAGACCACCAGCGTAGCCGATGCCTCTCTCAGCGGTGATGCCGACGGCGCCGTCACCGCAACCGTAGTCAATGCCACCAAGACCATAAGTGGGGAACTCACCAGCGACATCAGCAGTACCCAGGAACGGCAGGTTGCCGCAGACACCGACGGTACCCTCGTACCTGTTCTCGGAAGCTACACCCAGACCAGTAGGAGCAGCAGAGGAGGTGACGACGGGGAGACCTCCTCCGTAAGAAGCTTCCAGAGCAGCAGCGCCGATATCGTAGCCGTAACCACCGTAGCCGCGACCTCCGCAGCCACAACCACCGAGTCCAGCGCCGAAAGGTCCAACGCCCAGAGCAGCCTAAAAGAACAGATTAATTAAAATGATGTTAAGATGCTTTGAAGAAACAAGAAATTACAAGTCGAATTCAATCAATTTGTTCAAAATATGCGTCCAAGTATTTTGGATCTTCACAACAATCGAAGGAATAACAGAATGTTCTGTTTAGTTGTTTGTGTGTCTCCAATACCAATGGATTGGTTTCTCAATAGTCAGTCAGTTCAGTGTCTTCACGGCTAGTGGCTCCACACGAGTGGCACGCCACCACCAGCTCTTTCAGTGTCATTGTGTTCAAAGTAGTGAAGGAACATAATTATGTAGTAACAGTCGATCAACTTGTATCACGTACCTGTGCCACGAGGGCGGAGGCGCAGACGAAGAGGATGAGTTTAGCGGCCATGTTGTTTCACTGAATGACTTCAGAATGAGTTTGATGTAAGATGCACCTGTTTTTATACAGAAAACTTGGTAACCGCATTATCACATAGACGTGACTTTGACCTATAAATTTATTGTATTAGAAATTTTATTATGTATCAGTAAATAATGTGGTAATCGGGATATTGGAAGGTACTATTTTACATGTCGATTGAGAAAGTACAAATATCTTTCGCAATTGTTTTTGATTAAGTGTGTCGACATTTACTGGACAATCAGCCTCAGCGGAGCAGAAATAATAGTATAAAAGGGTTGGCGTGTGGAAGTAGCAGCATTCTGTCTCCAGCACGTGAATACATTACCACACCATGTCTACCTTCGCTGTTCTCCTCCTCTGCGCCCAGGCTTGCCTGATCCAAGTAAGTCATCTTGTGTTTTTGATTTGTTTACTATCTATGTACAAACAATGCTGACTGGTATATTATTGCCAGATCCTCAAGTATTAAGCAGAACTATGTCACTGTTACAGAACGTGTGCGGTCAGTACCTGGGTAATGGTCTAGGCGGCTGCGGCTGCGGAGCTGGTCTGGGTGGCCTCGGACTCGGCTATGGAGCTGGTTGGAACGGACTCGGTGCCGGCTGGAATGGACTCGACGGTGCCTACGGCGCTGGTTGTGGTTCATACGGCGGCGAGGGCATCGGCAACGTGGGAGTCGCCGGTGAGCTGCCCGTCGTTGGTGTCACCGCTGTCGGTGGCCGCGTGCCCATCATCGGTGGTGTCGAGTACGGAGGTCCCGCCTGCGCTGCTGGTGCTGTCTCTATCTGCGGACACTGCGCCCCCACCTGCGGCTGTGGACGTGGCCTGGCTGGATACTACTGAAATACTGTAAACTAAAGGACGGATCGATTCTCAATAAAATTCTAATCAATGCAAACATATAAAATACTTTTTTATTTTCTGTTCATAAATTTACGATGGGCCTTAGTCCGTTCTCTCTATGTTTTGTACCACCATCTCGTTTTTAAGATCGCCTATCCCACCGCCGGACCACAAATCATTCAAACTGTCTAGGACCATTGCTGTCATCCACAACACGTTTCCAGGGACCATTTTCGCCACACAAAGCGCTAAAGCATGCCCATCTGCAAACGAGACATACGGAGTACTTAGTGATTTTTTTTCCACCAATTTTAGTAACCTCAAGGCTTTATACTAGATCGTCGAAATAGTTCACCTACTACGGGGCTCAAACATGACGACAACCTTGCTAACAATTACCCTAGCAAGGGTAGTGCTTCGCAGAATCTACCCCAGGATCGGAAATGCGACCCACTGAGAAAATCCGGCGAAAAACTCAGTGGGCTGTGTCTGCCTTTTAATTTATTCGCCGAGCCCTTCGTCGAATGCAACGGGTTCAACGAGGACGATGACCGATGTTTGAGGTACTTAAAATCACTGTTAGTGGATCGGGAAGAATCGAAATGACGTACCTAGGGCGACGTCGACTGTTTACGATTCGACCCACACGATCGGGATGTAGTTACCGGCGGCCACGATGAGAGAGTTCTCGTGCCCTGCAGCTTTTTCGAAATGGCGCACTTATGCCAACTGAGATACTTACTGATGGACTCCAGGTCCATTTAGTCGTGGAGGTCCACATTTCTCATGCAACACTAAGCTCCGGCGGCTATCCTGCAAAAACGTGATTGTATGATTTGGAGGGGCTTCAAGCTAATGCGGGCCGCACGAGCGAACATAATACTTGCATAGTTCATGACCGGGCGTATACAAGTTTTGTAGAGTGTCACTGTTATTACAAAGGACAATTTACTTCACTTGCAAATCATCGGATAGAGACGTTATGGTATGAACGCGGCTTGGTCGCGTACCGACTTAATGTGAGGGTGGAATGTCATCCCTCTGTCGAAGATGACGCCTAGGTTCTTAACCTAGTACTTGCGGTAGGCAGCGGGTTGGTATAAACCTGGCATTGCTGACATCCGTAAGGGACGGTAACCCCTGACCGCGAGGTGGGTGCATCGTCTGTCTTTTTTTTAATTGCCTTTGTAGGCAAACGAGCATACAGCCCACCTGATGGTGAGTGGTTACCGTCGCCTACGGACTTCAGCAATTTCAAGAGACAGAACCAAGCCGCTGCCTATCGCTCAATACTCTCTACAAGCCTTGCTTGAAGACATGTCATAGCACTCGGGAAACACTGTGGAGGGGAGCTCATTCCATAGCCGGATGGTACGTGGCAAAAAATACCTCTGGAAACGCACTGTGGATGACCGCAGTGGCTCCAAGTAGTACCGATGAACTCTACTCCGGTGGTGGGTGGTGCGATGGTAAAAACGAGATGATGGTATCATCTCGAATAATTCCTCAGAGCACATACCCATGGAACATACGGTACAAAAAGCAGAGGGACCCGAAATCCCTTCGCAGACCCAGAGGTTCCAAACGATCCGTGAGAATGGGATTATCGACAATCCGAACAGCCCTCTTCTGTATGGAGTCAAATGGACGAAGCTGGTATTTGGAAGCCCCGGCCCAGAGATGGGAGCAGTACTCCACGCGAGGCCGGAATTGTGCTTTATAAAGCAAAAGTCTTTGTCCAGGCGTGAAGTACCGCTTTGCTCTGTTGAGGAGTCCCAGCATTTTGGACGCCAACTTGGCTTTGCCTTCCAANATGGTGGCACTCTGCCGTCGGCTCGGCTCCGATCCGGTGCAGGAACTCACCGAAGCAACCATGCCCAGTGAGCACCTGCGTGAGCCGGAAAGTGAGGCGTCCTCTGTCACGATTCACCCAGTTCACAAGAACCGGGCGAATCGCCTCGACGGTCCTACGACCAGCCGAAGGATCGGCCAGCCGTCTGGACCATGACTCCAGCACAGATACGGAGTACTTAGTGATTTTTTTTCCACCATTTTTAGTAACCTCAAGGGTTTATACTAGATCGTCGAAATAGTTCACCTACTACGGGGCACAAACATGACGACAACCTTGCTAACAATTACCCTAGCAAGGGTAGTGCTTCGCAGAATCTACCCCAGGATCGGAATTGCGACCCACTGAGAAAATCCGGCGAGAAACTCAGTGGGCTGTGTCTGCCTTTTAATTTATTCACCGAGCCCTTCGTTGAATGCAACGGGTTCGACGAAGACGATGACCGATGTTTGAGGTACTTAAAATCACTGTTAGTGAATCGGGAAGAATCGAAATGACGTACCTAGGGCGACGCCGACTGTTTACCATTTGACCCACATGATCGGGATGTAGTTACCGGCGGCCACGATGAGAGAGTTCTCGTGCCCTGCCGCTTTTTCTAAATGGCGCACTGATGCCAACTGAGATACTTACTGATGGACTCCAGGCCCATTTAGTCGCGGAGGTCCACATTTCTCATGCAACACGGAGCTCCGGCGGCTATCCTGCAAAAACGTGATTGTATGATTTGGAGGGGCTTCAAGCTAGTGCGGGCCGCATGAGCGAACACTATACTTGCATAGGTCATGACCGGGCGTATGCAAGTTTTGTAGATTGTCACCGTTATTACGAAGGGACAATTTACTTCACTTGCAAATCATCGGATAGAGACGTTCTGGTATGAACGCGGCTTGGTCGCGTACCGACTTAATGTGAGGGTGGAATGTCATCCCTCTGTCGAAGGTGACGCCTAGGTTCTTGACCTAGTACTTGCGGTAGGCAGCGGGTTGGTATAACCCTGGCATTGCTGACGTCTGTAAGGGACGGTAACCCTTGACCGCGAGGTGGGTGCATCGTCTGTCTTTTTTTTATTGCCTTTGTAGGCAGACGAGCATACGGCCCACCTGATGGTGAGTGGTTATCGTCGCCTATGGACTTCAGCAATTTCAAGAGGCAGAACTAAGCCGCTGCCTATCGCTCAATACTCTCTACAAGCCTTGCTTGAATACATGTCATAGCGCTCGGGAAACACTGTGGAGGGGAACTCATTCCATAGCCGGATGGTACGTGGCAAAAAATACCTCTGGAAACGCACTATGGATGACCGCAGTGGCTCCAAGTAGTACCGATGAACTCTACTCCGGTGGTGGGTGGTGCGATGGTAAAAACGAGGTGATGGTATCATCTCGAATAATTCCTCAGAGCACATACCCATGGAACATACGGTACAAAAAACAGAGGGACCCGAAATCCCTTCGCAGACCCAGAGGTTCCAAACGATCCGTGAGAATGGGATTATCAACAATCCGAACAGCCCTCTTCTGTATGGAGTCAAATGGACGAAGCTGGTATTTGGAAGCCCCGGCCCAGAGATGGGAGCAGTACTCCACGCGAGGCCGGAATTGTGCTTTATAAAGCAAAAGTCTTTGTCCAGGCGTGAAGTACCGCTTTGCTCTGTTGAGGAGTCCCAGCATTTTGGACGCCAACTTGGCTTTGCCTTNCAATCCGAACAGCCCTCTTCTGTATGGAGTCAAATGGACGAAGCTGGTATTTGGAAGCCCCGGCCCAGAGATGGGAGCAGTACTCCACGCGAGGCCGGAATTGTGCTTTATAAAGCAAAAGTCTTTGTCCAGGCGTGAAGTACCGCTTTGCTCTGTTGAGGAGTCCCAGCATTTTGGACGCCAACTTGGCTTTGCCTTCCAAGTGACTCCGAAACTGGACATCGCTCGAAATGCCGACCCCAAGTATCCCGATACTCTCGGAAAGTTGCAGGAATATTCCTTGGAATTGCGGCGCCATGACAAAGGGGTCCTTCTCAGCAGTGAACGCGCAAACTTGTGTCTTTAACGGGTTGAATTGAACCAAGTTAAATTCACCCCACTCGGAGACTCGCCCCAGAGAGGTCTACGCTTCAGGCACAAGTTTTAATCGTCTCTCTTGCACCACGCTCCGAGAGAGACTCTGATGGTTGATATATCGCGCACGCTGTCAATAAGCGACAGGTCATTGATATACATGATAAAAAGCGTGGGGGAGATCACAGAATCTTGTAGAATGCCAGCGTTAATGGTCATGGTATCAGAGCAGCAAAACCAGCAGAGCAGCAAGCCAACCGGCAAAACTAACGAAAAGCTTAACTTTGAAAGCCAGCTTACACAAAAATTACACTAAACATTTAAAGAATTCAAATGTAAACGACGAACTGATGTAGGATCATAAACATTTCTTTTTTACTAAAACTTCGAAACAAATAACAAACTCAATCGCACTTTTTGCCATATTTTATTTCAGTTCGACAGTAGGGGGTTCGGGATTTACATTAAATCACATGACTAGATGCCACCGCAGCCGCAACCGCGTCCGACGTAGCCTCCGTAGCCGAGCCCGTAACCAGCGCCGTAGCCGAGCCCGTAACCAGTGCCGTAGCCGAGCCCGGCGCGGTCCTCGGCTATGATGCCCACAGCGCCGTCGCCACAGCCGTAGTAGATGCCACCCTCACCGACAGTGGGGAAGACGCCCTCCACATAGGCGGTACCGAGGAGAGGCAGGTTACCGCAGACACCGACGGTGCCCTCGTACGAGTTCTCTGATGATACTCCTAGACCAGTAGGAGCGGCCGAGGAAGTGACGACGGGCAAACATCCTCCACGAGAAGCTTCAAGAGCAGAAGCAGCGCCGATGTCGTAGCCCAGACCAGCGTAGCCGTAATCGCCATAGCCGCGACCTCCGCAGCCACAACCACCGAGTCCAGCGCCGAAACGTCCAACGCCCAGAGCAGCCTGAAAGAACAGAATAATTAAAATGATGTTAAGATGCTTTGAAGAAACACGAAATTACAAGTCGAATTNCCGATGTCGTAGCCCAGACCAGCGTAGCCGTAATCGCCATAGCCGCGACCTCCGCAGCCACAACCACCGAGTCCAGCGCCGAAACGTCCAACGCCCAGAGCAGCCTGAAAGAACAGAATAATTAAAATGATGTTAAGATGCTTTGAAGAAACACGAAATTACAAGTCGAATTCAATCAGTTTGTTCAAAATATGCGTCCAAGTATTTTGAATCTTCACAACAATCGAAGGAATAACAGAATGTTCTGTTTAGTTGTTTGTGTGTCTCCAATACCAATGGATTGGTTTCTCAATAGTCAGTCAGTTCAGTGTCTTCACGGCTAGTGGCTCCACACGAGTGGCACGCCATTCAGTGTCATTGTGTTCAAAGTAGTGAAGGAACATAATTATGTAGTAACAGTCGATCAACTTGTATCACGTACCTGTGCCACGAGGGCGGAGGCGCAGACGAAGAGGATGAGTTTAGCGGCCATGTTGTTTCACTGAATGACTTCAGAATGAGTTTGATGTAAGATGTGCCTGTTTTTATACAGAAAACTTGGTAACCGCATTATCACATAGACGTGACTTTGACCTATAAATTTATGGTATTAGAAATTTTATTATGTATCAGTAAATAGTGTGGTAATCGGGAAATTGGAAATGGTACTATTTTACGTGTCGATTCAGAAAGTGCCAATATCTTTCGCAATTGTTTTTGATTAAGTGTGTCGACATTTAGTGGATGACGAGCCTTAGCGGAGCAGAAATAATAGTATAAAAGGGTTGGTGTGTGGAAGTAGCAGCATTCTGTCTCCAGCACGTGAACACATTACCACACTATGTCTATCTTCACTGTTCTCCTCCTCTGCGCCCAGGCTTGCCTGATCCAAGTAAGTCATCTTGTGTTTTTGATTTGTTTACTATCTATGTACAAACAATGCTGACTTGTATATTAGTGCCGGATCCTCAAGTATTAAGCAGAACTATGTTACTGTTATAGACTGTGTGCGGTCAGTACCCGGGTAGAGGTCTAGGCGGCTGCGGCTGCGGAGCTGGTCTGGGTGGCCTCGGACTCGGCTATGGAGCTGGTTGGAACGGACTCGGTGCCGGCTGGAATGGACTCGACGGTGCCTACGGCGCTGGTTGTGGTTCATACGGCGGCGAGGGCATTGGCAACGTGGGAGTCGCCGGTGAGCTGCCCGTCGGTGGTGTCACCGCTGTCGGTGGTCGCGTGCCCATCATCGGTGGTGTCGAGTACGGAGGTCCCGCCTGCGCCGCTGGTGCTGTCTCTATCTGCGGACACTGCGCTCCCACCTGTGGCTGTGGACGTGGCCTGGCTGGATACTATTAAACTATTGTGAATAAAACAATAACGCTATAGTAAAATTTTACCAGATGCAATCGAATTTTTGTGTTTCCTTCTCAGAAAACAAATATCTCGATAATAATCAAATAATATGGTAGACATTAGATATTTATGCGAATACTCAACTGTGCTTCATAAGGTGTCGTATGAGTGATATAGCTTAAAAGATATACATATTTTTCCTAAGTGGGGGATGCAATTCACGTCTATGAGTTCCGGTAGGATAAACATTTCGAGTCGGATTGTGGGGTTAACCGCGGGAACCTATCTTTTTGCAAAGCGTCCTGGTAGGCGATGCTCGACTTCTGCGAGTCCACCTTCAGCTGGCGATCTTCTTGTATACCTTACTCACAGGTGGGCTGAAGCCTTGGAGAGCAAGGGCGAGGCTCTTGCTGTGAACCTTGATATCAGATAGGGCACTTCTGTCGAAGCTACTGTCAGCTTACGGAATCCCCGAGGGGCTCTGGATGGGCGGAGCATCACGGTCGTTCTAGACGGTGAATGCTCTGGTACCATGACCATTAACGCTGGCGTTCCACAAGGTTCGGTGCTCTCCTCCACGCTTTTCATCTTGTATATCAATGACATGCTGTCTATTGATGGCATGCATTGCTATGCGGATGACAGCACGGGGGATGCACGATATATCGGCCATCAGAGTCTCTCACGGAGCGTGGTGCAAGAGAGACGATCAAAACTTGTGTCTAAAGTGGAGAAGTCTCTGGGGTGAGCCTCCGAGTGGGGTGAATTGAATTTGGTTCAATTCAACCCATTGAAGACACAGGTTTGCGCGTTCACTGCTAAGAAGGACCCCTTTGTCTTGGCGCCGCAATTCCAATGAGTATCCTTCCAAGAGTATTGGGATACTTGGGGTCGACATTTCGAGCGATGTCCAATTTCAGAGTCATTTGGAGGGCAAAGCCAAGTTGGCTTCAAAAATGCTGGGAGTCCTCAATAGAGCGAAGCGGTACTTCAGTCGGCGGCTGCGGACTGCGATGCGGTCTGCATTTTCATCGTCGCCGTCGTCGCCGAGCATACTGTGGAAGAGCAACCCGGTCGGCGGAGTATCGCGTTCCGACCCGGCAGGCTGGTCATGGCCCAGCGGGGTATCCCGGAACACCAGCGGTATCGCCCGGGCGGCTTGATAGGGCCGCCGTACCACGGAGACCGACCTCGTTGGTCGTCGACTATTGCCTCGACCATCCATCGCTCGGGTGTCCTCGGGGTGGCGCCGCGTGTCTAGTTGTAGTGTAGACCGCGGGAACCTCCCTACTCTGACCGGGTTTTGACCCCGGACGGAGATCGGACGTCGGGTGTAAGAGTGCAGGGGAGTCGTTTAGTGGGTAGGGCCCTAAAACTCCTCGGCCCGCGGTCTGCTCCCAACACCTTGCAGATCGTCAAGTCCCACATACCGCGCGCCCCCTAGGCGCGGGGACCTCGTAGGAGGTTCGGCCCCCGGCCCGAAAAAAACCATTTTGGGAGGGCTTAAACGACAAAGGGAAGATCTTCCACCAAGCGGGTGATATTTGCTCGACCGACGGTCCCAATGTTGTTGTTCGGAACTTGTATATATGCAAGCTTATCTTGAAAATGTCGTAAGCGAGATTCAGGTATCTGTCAATTATCTTGCGTTGTATGATGGCTCCCCGCCACATCACTCCCCTCCGAGACCGGAAGTCGTGTCATTTAGTTAGCGTTGTCCGTACTGAGATTAGCTTGCTGCTCGAAGTCTGCGGTGAGTTGAGACTGAGCTTGAATGCTGTGCGTGTATCGTGAGTAGTCCATGTGATGCAGAGCTGCCACGCCGGAGATGTGTGACCCCAAGCGTGGATGATCCGGTCGTGGGCTGCGATGAACTGTAGTGTCGTGATGAGGCAGTGAAGTTGCGTGCCGTAGGAAGCGCGGTGAGTCGGCTGCGATGGTCCTGTTGAGGCTGCGATGCTGGCTTGCTATGGGACAACTGTCGATGACTTGCTTTTATCTGCGAGAGTGCGCGAATAGTGGTAGCCGAAGTACGTGATGCGCTGATGATGAAGTGTGAAGGCTGCAATTGTTCCGTCGCAGGTCACCACTATGGTACTTGTGTGAGCGGGAAGGCGTCGTAGCAATGAGAACTAATCTGACTTTAATGCGTTTTATTCGTATATAATGCGATTTATATCCGAATGAAATCGGACATCGGGTGACAGTTCGGTCGGTAGGGTCCTACAGACATCGTCTGGCGATTTGCTCCCAACATCTACAGACTGTCAAATCTCTTACCCGCTGAAGCCTCGTATGAGGTTCAGCCCCCTGACCAAAAAAAGGGACAATCATTTAATACTACTACTACTCTCCTTTTTTATTGCTTAGATGGGTGGATATTGAGATATGAGTTCTAAGGTCTCAGTATAGTTACAACGGCTGCCCCACCCTTCAAACCGAAACGCATTACTGCTTCAAGGCAGAAATAGGTAGGCGGTGATACCTACCCGTGCGGACTCACAAGAGGTCCTACCACCATTAATTACGCAAATTATAATTTTGCGGATTTGATTTTTATTACGTAATGTTATTCTCTCGCCGTGGAAGTCAATCATGAACATTTCTTAAGTATGTAAGGTACAAGCTGTCCTGGTAGACTTCGTAGTGCCTTAATCGATAAATAAAAGACCTAAACTTTTGTGTAAAATAACGTAAAACAAACAAAAGAATCCGTCCGACGGGGGACACACCCTAGGGAAAACAAAATTGTTATTTTTATTTAATTCCGAACATTTTCATATTTATCTACCTTTTAAACCTTCTCTGGACTTCTACAAATAATTAAAGACCAAAATTAGCCAAATCGGTCCAGCCGTTCTCGAGTTTTAGCGAGACTAACGAACAGCAATTCATTTTTATCTATATATTAATACGTGAAGCAAAAACTTTGTATCCCTTTTTACGAAAATTGCGCGGACGGAGGAGTATGAAATTTTCCACACTTATAGAGAATACAGAGAAGAAGTGCACAATGCTAATATTTTTTTAAAATAATGTATAAAAGATACATTAAATCAATAAAGAAAACATTACATAAGTCTTATCCTTTAGGCCACGACGATTTCGCCGACTCCTTAGCCGATTTCAGCCACGGCGACAACTTTAACTACCATTCTAATTGCCACGGTGTGCTCATGTGTGGCTAACATAGCCAATTTTATTCCTAAGCGTTCATGCACATTGCGGACAGATGGGCACACCAATATGATAGTTGTAAGATATAGCACAAGGCGGGTGTATTTTCAGTTATGAAGTGCTTCAGTGTTTTTTTTTTTTTTTTTTTCCGTACCTTTAGCAAACAACAAAGCCAGAGATTCATATTTACATTTTTTTGTTTTAATTTTAATTATAGTTGATACTCCTTGCCCATAAGGGGCTTAAAAACTAGGTCACGCATTCATACCGAGCCTCTTTATCATACCAGTTCTCGCATTTATTAGTCTCGTACTTTCATTCATTCCATTCATACTTTGCATTCCTAGCTGCGGCTAATAAAAGGAGGGGAGGGGGAGTAGGGCTGTTGGGACTCTTTATTTCTATAATTATTTACATTTCCTTATTCTACCTTAAACCTAGTACATGTACACTTAATCCTATTTACTTAAACTAGGTTACTTCAGAGGGCTTCATTAGACATGTTTCAAATTGTGATCGCACCGTCATCTATCCGTGGGGCGAATGAAAATATTTTAAAATGCATAACCTCAGCACTGAACTAACAATGCTGTCGTTTTTCTGGTAGGTATATAAAATTGTAAGAACAAAACTATAAATTTTGTGTAAAATAAAAAAAATGCTTTCCGTTCTTGGGAGGTCAATTTGACAAAGGAAAGATCTTTTACTGAATGGGTGGTATTGCTCGGTAGGGCGACGGTCCGAATGTTGATATTCGGAACTTGAATATAGGCAAGCTTAACTTGAAAATTCGTTAGGCAGTATACACACAAGTTTATCACACCAAAATGTAAGCGGGCCTTAGTTGATGCGGGTAGGCTCTGACCGACTGCGATCTCCGTTCCATAGGGGAGCCGCGTCCCAACGGAAGTTTCAATCTCGGCGTGCCATGCTTGAGGCGTGGTTTCGCCACCTACAGGCTACGCCTGACAAAAAATAAAATGAATACTATATGTAATTGTGTTGATCAAAATTTATTTAAAGCAGTCCATTCTCAATAAAAGCTTTAGTAGTATCCAGCCAGACCACGTCCACAGCCGCAAGTGGGAGCGCAGTGTCCGCAGATAGAGACGGCACCTCCAGCGCAGGCGGGACCTCCAAACTCGACACCACCGATGATGGGCACGCGGCCGCCGACAGCGGTGACACCACCGACGGGCAGCTCACCCACGACTCGCACGTTGCCGATGCCCTCGCCGCCGTATGAACCGCAACCACCGCCGTATCCACCGTCGAATCCACTCCACCCAGCACCGAGTCCGTTCCAACCAGCTGCTACACCGTTCCAGCCGGCTCCACAACCACAACCACCCAGACCACCCAAGTACTGGCCGTACACGTTCTAAAACCACAAAAAAGGCCTATGTTGACACTCAAATCTATGTTGATGTGAAGACTGTTAAAAGAGCCATCAGTCCCTAGTAAGAGAGTATTTAAGAGAGGCTGTCCTCGGCGAACCCGTTGCTTGCGACGAAGGGCTCGACGAGTAAATTAACCCATAGACCCATTTTTTTCTGCCGTGAAGCAGTAATGCGTTTTGGTTTGAAGGGTGGGGCAGCCGTTGTAACTATAGTGAGACCCTTAGAACTTATATCTCAAGGTGGGTGGTGCATTTACGTTGTAGATGTCTATGGGCTCCAGTAACCACTTAACACCAGGTAGGCTGTGAGCTCGTCCACCCATCTAAGCAATAAAAAAAAAAGACAGTCCACTGAGTTTTTCGCCGGATCTTCTCAGTGGGTCGCGTTTCCGATCCGGTGGTAGATTCTGCGAAACACTGCTCTTGCTAGGGCCAGTGTTAGCAACACTCCGATTTGAGCCCCGTGAGCTCACCTATACGTCAAGCTGAAATAGCTTCTCAAGGCTATCAGCATAGGTAGGAAAAACAATTACTTACTTGGATCAGGCAAGCCTGGACGCAGAGGACCATAAAAGCGAAGGTAGACATGATGTAAATTATTCACGTACTGGATACAGAATGCTGCTTCTTCCGGACAATCTTTCTTTTATAGCGCCACTCGCATCCATATTCGTGCCCCATATTCATTCGAGTTTCGAAAGTTGCAATATTTTATCTAGGAATTACGCAAATTTCTTTCAAATCGACACGTATTTCTGAGGGGGGTTTGTGTAATAATGCTATTTTTCTTTATTAGATCACGTTCGTAAGACATCCCTTGAGATATAGCGTTATTTATTGAGACAACAGGTAGGTAATGGTGATTGACATATCTATATCATCGGTTACCAAAACTCTCATAACTAGAGGCCCCGCAGTAGTCGAAATTCGACTAGAATTAATTTGAATTGTAAGTTTGTACACTATTATGATTGCATTTTATACTTCTATAATCACAAATTTCGCCAAGACTACACTATAAAAAATATTAACAAAGACGAACAATATTTATGTTTCGGATTGAAGGGTGGGGCAGCCGTTGTAACTATACTTGAGACCTTACAACTTATACCTCAAGGTGGGTGACGCATTTACGTTGTAGATGTCTATGGGCTCCAGTAACCACTTAACATCAGATGGGCTGTAAGCTCGTCCGCTCATCTAAGCAATAAAAAATAAAAAATAAAAAAAAAACTTGAGACCTTAGAACTTATATCTCAAGGTGAGTGAAGCATTTGCGTTGTAGATGTCTATGGGCTCCAGTAACCACTTAACACCAGGTGGGCGGTGAGCTCGTCTGCCTACAAGGGCAATAAAAAAATCTGAATAGTTTGACAGCATCCTGAAGGTATTAGCAAACCCTTACAGTAATCAGTACCAGTACAGTATCAGTAAAGTCAGTAATTGAACCATTAGGTATTTCATGGTTACATTTTTTTTTATTACCCATATAGACAGACAAGCATACGGCCCACCTGATGGTGAGTGGTTACCATCGCCCATGGACTTCAGAAAGAGCCAAGCCGCTGCCTACCGTTAAGTAAGCCAAAAGCCTCGTTTGAAGAAGGATATGTCATAGCGCTCGGGACAACAGCATGGAGGGGAGCTCATTCCAAAGCCGGATGGTACGTGGCAATAAAAGATCTCTTTTTTTATTAATTTTTATTGCTTAGAGGGGTGGACGAGCTCACAGCCCACCTGGTGTTAAGTGGTTACTGGAGCCCATAGACATCTACAACGTAAATGCGCCACCCACCTTAAGATAAGTTCTAAGGTCTCGGTACAGTTACAACGGCTGCCCCACCCTTCAAAGCGAAACGCATTACTGCTTCACGGCAGCAATAGGCAGGGTGGTGGTACCTACCCGTGTGGACTCACAAGAAGTCCTACCACCGGTAAAAATCTTATTCGAGAAGACTTACTTGCATATTATCATTCTGATCATTCTGTTTATTTTATTTTGTTTTCTAACTAGTCAGGTCATAAATTCTGTCACATGTTTAATGTAAAATAATTGAAACAAGTTTATTAATTATGTAACCATTCATATACCAAAATGAACTTAACAAAACATAGATTCTTATGACACTAAAGTTTATTCAAAATGACCTCCGTGATTTTGAATACAGGCCTTCAATCTGCGCGGCCAGTCGTCTATCGCAGTACGAACGAGGTCCATGTCAATATCGGCGGCTGCCTTAATCAAGGATGTCTTGAGTGACTCCAAATTGGGATGAGGCTTTGAGCACGCCTTTTCCTCCAAGTGTTGCCATATCTTGTAATCTAACGGATTCAAATCTGGACTGGAGGAGGGCCAGTCTTCGTGCCGGATGAAGTCGATTTCACGCGCCGCCAGCCAGTCTTGTGTGCTCTTCGCTCTATGAGCTGGCGCCGAATCTTGTTGGAATACCCAGTGCCTGTTATTGAACATGGTATGAGAAACAGGTTCCACAAGGTTCGTCAGGACTGTATTTTGATACACAACTGCATTCGTTTTTACACCTTTCTCACAAAAATGTACCTCTGTTAAGCCCCAATAAGAAACTCCCAACCATACCATGAGCGAGGATGGAAAATGACCTCGTTGGACACGCGGAATACGGTTGCTCGCTTCTTCACTACTGTGTGCGTACACCTTATCATTTTGTTTGTTGTAGCTCTCTTCTACGGTAAAAATTTTTTCATCCGAAAAAAGAATTTCCCGATATTTTTTTCCCGCGTACCGCTTCAACAAAGCGCGGCATCTCTTCAGTCTCAGGTCCATTAGACGAGCATTCAAACGATGTCCTGTTTTTCTTCGATATGCCCGAAGCCCTAAGTCTTCATTTAACACCCTTTTCACCGTGGTTCTGCTTAACCCCATCTGAAGGGCCAACAGTTTCTGCTTACGTTTGGGATTTCTTTGAATTCGCGCCTTCACAACTTTTATCACTGCTGGAGTCCTAACAGACCGAGGGCGACCACTTCTTGACCTGTCATCTACACTAGAGTCTTCATTTTATCGTTTGATGGTACGATAAACGAATCTTTTGGTTATATTAAAATTTTTCAGTATGTTAAAATTTGGATTGGCGCGTAACCGCAACGATGCAACGCAATAACTGCAACACGGTCTTCATTAAGCGTCCACTCCATATTTAAAAATGAGTAAAATTCTAAAAGTATACATTTTTATTTTCATGAACAATTCGAAATTTCATAAACAAAATTCAATAAACTTTTTTGTGGCCAGCATTCTAAAAGAAAAGTTTTTACTGTGTGACAATACTTATGACCTGACTAGGTATATGTGCGAATTGATGCATTATTATTTTCTGATAATCAATAAATAAATAAATAAACCCGTAGTATTTTATTTGATAGGAAGGCAGTTAGTTAATGATATTCCGGTGCCTTAAATTACACACGTCAGACGTCAAAGTGACAGCGCGGGAAACTCGACGTGTGGCCTTGCTGTGTGACATTACGTAGACACTTCATTAAAATACAATGCACCGCTGCATATAAATTAACGCTCGCGTCAATTCACTATATTAAAAAAAAAAGTTGAGTAACTGGTTCGTTCAGGAATGTAATCTCGTTAAAGTACTTAAATATTAAAAAAAAAAGATTGATACAAACGTACCGGCATCGGCACAATAAATATTAATAATCTCTTGTCTGTTTGTTCGCCATCAATAATAATGCCTGCAGACAATTTCCGTATTGCAATGTATAAATATTGAAGAGAGAAAGGGAGTATTCTTTATTGTACACCAAATAAATAAAAAATGCGGAATATTAAATAAATAAAAAGTACAATTGGCGGTCTTGTCGCTAAAGGCGATATCTTCCAGACAATTTGTATCCAGATAAATCCTAACAAAGATACAGCAGATATATTACGGTGTTGATTATTATTATTATTATCTACTATTAACAATATTTAGAGGGATTAAATAAAAAATAGACCAAACCTTTAAGCACGTTGTTAAATAAGAAAACTACTATACGGGAAGATCGGTATTTTTAATCAGTTCAAACTGGCACACTAGATGGACTTAAAACAAAAGAAAATTAATCTCAATCTCAGTCATCGATTGAGATTACTAGGCTATGAGTGTTTTGTTAAAATAAAGATTTTACTGTTAAAATTCATTAAATTTTGCTCCACAATCCCATATATAAATGTCGGAGACGGTCATTAGTTAGGTATCAAAACAACGCACAGATACACGAGAGGTGACGCATACACGATCGCAATGTCGTCGGAACTCGGCTAACCTCGTGCTACGACAGAGCCTAGCCGATGGAGGCGCATAGACGCCATCACATTTTTTTATATTGCCCTCGTAGGCAGCCGAGCACACGGCCCACCTGATGGTGAGTGGCTTCAGTAATGCCAGGGACAGAGCTAAGCCGCTGCCTGCCGCTTAATACTCTCCACAAGCCTCGTTTGAAGAAGGTCATGTCATAGCGCTCGGAAAACACCGTGGAGGGGAGCTCATTCCATAGCCGGATGGTACGTGGCAAAAAATACCTCTGGAAACGCACTGTGGATGACCGCAGCGGCTCCAGGTAATATGGATGAACTCTACTCCAGTGGCGGGCGGTGTGATGGTAAAAACGAGATGACGGTATCATCTCATCTCGAACAATTCCTCAGAGCACTCCCCATGGAACATACGGTACAAAATACAGAGGGAACCGAAGTCCCTCCGCAGACCCAGAGGCTCCAAACGATCCGTGAGAATGATTACCAACGGTCTTCTTGAAGAGCGGTGCCTCCGTCCTAAGAACTGTCATTCGTTTTCATTTGCTAACGTCAAGAGAAGACTTCTATATTGTTCTAAGATAAAAAACGTGATTTGTGTACTTAATGTTTCTCTTAACTCGATCACCCTATTCGCCCCTATGATGTCGGACGTTGAGTCTTAATAATGCGGTTTCTCCGACATCTATATATATAAAAGAAAGTCGTGTTAGTTACACTATTTATAACTCAGGAACGACTGAATTGATTTGGCTGAAAATTGGTGAGGAGGTAACTTAGAACCAGGAGAAGGACATAGGATACCTTTTATCACATTCCCGTGGGACTTGACATAAAACGTGGTAACTATAACAAAACGCAACTGACAGCTAAACGTAATATGAGTCGTCTATTATCAAAAGTGGCAATCTGTGCATTTGGACAAAAAAAATGTTATTGATATGTCAATACAGATTGATTTGAATATAATCGTCTCCTTCAAAGAATACGGTTCAAAAACTGCATTAAATAAAGATTTATGCTTAACCTGTTATTTATCTAAGATGTCGTTCAGAAGAGTTTTGTGACTGCCAATGGAATACAAAGTCAATAATTCGTTTTTCTGATTTACCAATAATTGTCCAAAAGTCACATTGCCGGCTTTGATAATAGTCGACTCATATATTCTATGGTTAATTGTGTTAATTATAGTAGAATTTTGAAGTTGACCGGTTGATGTGTTTGAAACAAACCGTGTGGCGGAACAAAGTTCGCCGGGTCCGCTAGTATACAATATACATAAAATTATATATCACTATTAAAAGAAACACTCAAACATTTAAGAGAAAAAAACAGTATTTTAGAACTAGATCACAAATACAACTAGTCTAACAGGAAATCAATTTTTGCACGCGACGAATGTATAATAATATAAGTAATAATGTATTGCAATAAAATTCATGCTATAAAAACGTACGTAGGCTGATTTCAATAATTAATTGCTCTGCATTCTACTTAATTAAGCGTCTTGTTAATCTATACTAATATAAAAATCTACAGTGGTTTTTACTTATGTTCCGTTATAACTACTGAACCGTGCATCCGATTGACTTGAAACTTGGTACCCATATAGAAAATACATGTACTTAATGGATAGGCTAATATTTATATGATCATTGGACTCCCTACACCAGTTGCGCGGGCGTTAATGATGAGTATCTTTATGGGAGTGAGAAATAATAATGTTAATTTTAAATGCCCAGCGAAGCGGACGGGTACAGCTAGTAAATTCTAAAAATAAACTTACAAGCTTTGACTTTGAATCATTGGTGCTGTAATATCGGAATCGCTGGAGGACCTCAGCCATATGCTCAACAATCTCAGCGCTGCTTCCTGATGCATGGGACTGCGGATGAACCTTGACAAGACGAAAGTCATGTCCAATGATCAAACCGTCCAGGGCCAAGCTACCATCTCGAACGCAGCCTTTGAAGAGTTAAAAGACTTTGTCTACCTCGGCCAGGGTATCCAGCTTGGCCGGGGTAATTTCAATACAGATATTGAGAGATGCATACGACTGGTTTGGTCGGCATTTGGGAAATTCCGTGTAATCCTTACCTCAATATCACTATATGTACTTGAGATCTTTAGAACTTATATCTCAAGGTCGGTGACGCATTTACGTTATAGATGACTATGGGCTCCAGTGACAACTTAACATCAGGTGGGCTGTCAGCTCGTCTAACCATCCAAGCAAATAAATAGGCATACTCAGATATTCATTCGATACTAGCTGACCCGGCATACTTCGTAGTGCCTCAATCGGTTAATAAAAGACCTCAACTTTTGTATAAAATAAACTTAAAACAAACAAATGCAATCCGTCAGACGGGGGACACATAAAAGGAAAAACAAAATTCTTATTTTTATTTATTTCCAAGCATTTTCATATTTACCTGCATTTTAAACCTTCTCTGGACCTCCACAAATAATCCAAGACCAAAATTAGCCAAATCGGTCCAGCCGTTCTCGTGTTTTAGCGAGACTAACGAACAGCAATTAATTTTTATATATATAGAAGATAATAATAAATCAATTGATTCTTTTTGGTTTTAAAAAAATATAAGTAATTTGTTCGCGTCGTTTTGAAACATGTTCTTAAGAATGGATTTAATTGAAGTTCGCGCGCTAATAAAATATCTCAGCTTCAATTTTTTTTTACTACGGAGCTGGTAAATCAAGATTATAGAGCAACTTTAGGAGTTTATGCAACCGATCGATGTATATAACTGTTTTATTTATGGATATTCTCGTGTTGTACATATGACAGGCAATTTTTATAGTCTTACTAGCGACCCGCCCTCGCTTCGCTTCGGAAACTGTAATTTATTATTGACTAGCTGACCCGGCAGACTTCGTAGTGCCTCAATCGATAAATAAAAGACCTAAACTTTTGTATAAAATAAACTTAAAACAAACAAAAGGAATCCGTCCGACGGGGGACATATGAAAGGAAAAACAAAATTGATATTTTTATTTAATTGAGAGCATTTTCATCTACCTTTTAAACCTTCTCTAGACTTCCATAAATAATTCAAGACCAAAATTAGACAAATCGGTCCAGCAGTTCTCGAGTTTTAGCGATATATATAGATTTCCTCACTATTTAATGGATGTCATTATACATATAAACCTTCCTCTTCAATCACTCTATATATTAAAAAAAACGCATCAAAATCTGTTGCGTAGTTTTAAAGCTTTAAGAATTCATAGGGACAGACAGATATAGGGACAGAGAAAGTGACTTTGTTCTAAACTATGTAGTGATCTGAGGTTTGGTATTTTCATTGTTATTTTTTGTTTACGATTTCAATACGCCAGCTCAATCCGTAAAAGTAGTTATAATTAGATACATGTAGATAAGAATAAATAGCAGTCTTAGATGATAACTTGAGTCGGGTACAACGAATAAATAAAAACATACACAGTAAAGGAAATTGTTTTTTATTTACATTTTTTTTATATACAAAAATAAAAAAAAATAACGAAAATCTGACGTGACTTAAAATTTAGCTGAAACGTATTTCACATCTAATTAATACATTTTTAATGTCGCTTATTCAATTAATAGTGGTTATAGACAGGCATTTGTGGATGATAGATACATTACGTCAAAACTACATGCTAAGCTTTTGTAATATTGGTGATATTTGTATATTATATGTAACAGCGCGACGAAGGCCTGAACCTGATTTCACTATTGAATTTCATAAGCGTTGCATACGGACGTTGCAGTGGCAAAGTCAACAAAATTGCTCACAAACACACACAGTTTAGACATCTTTAGACATTAGTTAGTAAGTATAACGTCCAAAGTTTGGCGATTAATTGACCTGAACCAAGTTACTAGTGGCAACTCAAGAGATCATCTTCCAGAACATCATAACAGCTAATTGAGCAAAATGCAAAACTTCCATTGCCGGTTACTACTGCATCATTAGGAGATGTTGCAAAATCTTGTCCTAACTCTAAGTCCCAACGAAGGTGGTAATTTACAAGGCTAGCCTTCGATCAACTAACTTTCCTGCTTTCACATTTCTATTTTTCCCAGCCTTTTCTCGAAATTGGAATACTTTTTGAGGTCTTCCTATAAGCGGGAAGCTGATTGTGGTTCACCGCAATATTTCATTGACAAAGACTAGGAGAAAATCTGTTATTTGGGAGGCCATTATTCGCGGAATACATATCAGGACTATCATAATGAATGGAGGTCACGCATTTAAGCAGAGTGCCCACAGATTGATGGACTTATAAAGGAGGCAACTTGGACATGCATAGTGATGCCCAACCCGTGTTGGGCGGTCAGTGTTTTATTGCTGATAAGATGATAATTCCACAGTAACATGGCTGATCGATGTGTTCAATCTTCTAAATTATATATATAAAAAGTGTACATCCGCAAAAACCGTTGACTTGTTGTTGATTAGCGTAGGTAGCTTGTGTATTCACCAGCAGTATGGGTAGTTAGGGCATAGGGCAGCCGGGAAATCAGCCGGATACTTGGGCACAGGATTCGACCTAGAATTAAAAAAAAACACTAGTTTAACTCAAGACTTTAAATACCAGACGCGAATAACATTAACGGGTCTAATAAGCAATAGCGTGGCATTATAAAGATCTCGAAGATTTTGAGCCCTCGTGGGTTTGTACTACGGCCCCTTACCACTGTTGCAACTTATTGGCATTGTAAATCAATACAGGTACCGGGTTTCGCACCATATCTCCTATTTCTGTGGCGAAACAGTCATGAGTTCCAGTTTTAAGAATGGGTTAGTCGTTATACTATATGTCTCAGACTTCAACACTACGTCATCGAGGTGGCTTTTATGGGCTCAGGTAACTTAACATCAAATGTGGAGTGACCTACATAATTCATCCATCTACGTAAGCCAACGTAAATGACATTGATTCTATGGTTGAATAAGATCTGGATTAGTACTTACGCAGCTCGAGCGATCGGCAGGATGGCTGGGTTGCGCACCCATTCTGGTATCGGCATTCCCTGAGGGGTGTACTTGGCCAGGGCGTCAGCATCGCAGAACGGGTAGTTTGGGCAAATGGCTGGGTGGAGTCCGGCCGGGTACTCGCGGGCCAGAGCTACCGCGGTCAGAGTGAGGATGGCGAACTGTAAATTGAAAACACCTTAATAATCTATACAGATTTAAATGTACTAGAGGTCCCGCAGTAGTCGAAATTCGACTATAATTAATTGGAATTGTAAGTTTCTATGCTATTATGATTGTATTTTATACTTCTATAATCACAAATTTCGCCAAGACTACACTATAAAAAATATTAACAAAGACAAACAATATTTAATCTATTCTCAATTTGACAACAGACGTCAAGAACAAAAGTTTGACAATAAATAGTATGCATGCGTGTGTGCGTCAAATACATGGTATATGGTGTGTGTAATGTTTTCTTTATTGATTTAATGTATCTTTTATGCATTATTTTAAAAAAATATTAGCATTGTGCTCTTCTTCTCTATATTCTCTATAAGTGTGGAAAATTTCATAATCATCCGTCCGCGCAATTTTCGCGAAAAGGGATACAAAGTTTTTGCTTCACGTATTAATATATATCGACGCTTGAAAGGCAAACGTGACTAAGCGACAATAACTGCTTTGTACATAAATGATAGGCAATAACCATATTCGATGCCCAAAAAAAAATTATTTCTAGGTCTATTAAAATCATTTCAATCCTACAGCTACTAGCTAGNTATCGACGCTTGAAAGGCAAACGTGACTAAGCGACAATAACTGCTTTGTACATAAATGATAGGCAATAACCATATTCGATGCCCAAAAAAAAATTATTTCTAGGTCTATTAAAATCATTTCAATCCTACAGCTACTAGCTAGATTCTACTCCAGCTAGATTCGTTTAAATTTTTTTTTCCTTCAGGTATTTCAACTTTAAATTAGTCTACTGTAAAGTTTTACGCATTGTCGCTTAGTCACGTTTGCCTTTCAAGCGTCGATATAGATTGCTGTTCGTTAGTCTCGCTAAAATTCGAGAACGACTGGACCGATTTCGCTAATTTTGGTCCTGAATTATTTGTGGAAGTCCAGGAAAAAAAAAGACCTAAATACATTCTTGATCGAATCACTATTCCGTAAATTTGACCGGTGGCGATCGCAACACTAACACGCACTAATTGTTCCAAAAAAATTATTCAATTTGTTAAAAAAATATTACTTGTAGTAATAGAACGCACGCAACGGGTCAATTGCGATAATGTTGCATTGCGAACGAACTTTACATAGTTTGATTTATTGGCAGCCGTTTTCATGACCCGCGTCACGAATCGAGAGCCACTTTGAGACACGAAGCTTGAGTCACATTTACCGGCTACCGTTCGAATAGTCATTCGGGGCTGGTTAGCGGTAGGATTCGGCAGGATCGTGGTAGAGGGTGGGGCAGCCGTTGTAACTTGAGACCTTAGAACTTATATCTCAGCGTGGGTGACGCATTTACGTCGTAGATGTCCATGGGCTCCGGTAACCACTTAACACCAGATGGGCTGTGAGCTCGTCCAACAATCTAAGCTATAGGTAATAAGTTTAAATATATACATATATAGATATTTGATACCTATATAAAGAGAAAATAAACCCGTTCATCTCATCACGCACGCTTGACCGATGTGGTTTTACTAGTGGTAGGACCTCTTGTGAGTCCGCACGGGTAGGTACCACCACCCCGCCTGCTTCTACCGTGAAGCAGTAATACGTTTCGGTTTGAAGGGCAGGGCAGCCGTTGTAACTATACTTGAGACCTTAGAACTTATATCTCAAGGTGGCGCATTTACGTCGTAGATGTCTATGGGCTCCAGAAACCACTTAACACCAGATGGGCTGTGAGCTCGTCCACCCATCTAAGCAATAAAAAAAATATGTGGGAATCGAATCCACGACCCGGCAGTCTGGGACACCCGCTACCGTCTCAATCGACGCTTCGACGTGAAGTTTTGTAAAGTCGAATACCTATACAGTTTTTTAACGAGAACTCGTCAAATACGTTGCTCAAATTAAAAACGATAATTAACGTGCTCAATTGTTAATTACACAGCTAGGCGTAAGTACGAGTGTGTTTGTCAATACTTAACACGCGACCGTCTGGCGTGCGATTCATTAGACAAGCCAGATTATGATGAAAATATAAAAAAAATACACGTGAGAAAACAATCTATATATTAATAATACGTGAAGCAAAAACTTTGTATCCCTTTTAACGTAAATTGCGCGGACGGAGGAGTATGAAAATTTCTACTCTTATAGAGAATATAGGGAAGAAGTGCACAATGATAATTTATTTTTTCAATAATGCACAAAAGATACATTAAATCAATAAAGAAAACGTTACACACACTACATACCGTGTATTTGACGCACACACGCATGCATACTATTTATTGTCAAACTTTTGTTCTTGACGTCTGTGGTCAAATTGAGAATAGATTAAATATTGTTTGTCTTTATTAATATTTTTTTATAGTGTAGTCTTGGCGAAATTTGTGATTATATAAGTATAAAATACAATCACAATAGTGTACAAACTTACAATTCCAATTAATTATAGTCGAATTTCGACTACTGCGGGACCTCTAGTAGTAATAAACACGCGCTCGCCGCGAACGACTCCCATGATGATGGAATAGCATCGGGGATTGTCGTAGGCAAATGGTCTATCTGATGGCGATTGGTTATCACGGCCCGTGGACATCAGCAAACACCTGGGGCATAGCTGCGCGGCCTATTTGTTAGTATGACCTATGGTTTTTCTTTAATGGTAATAAATAAATAAAAAAGCTTCTATTTCCTTATCCTTAACTTTCAATTCAAATGTGGTATTTGTTTGTTAATTTTTAGTTAGTTACTAGCTGACCCGGTAGACTTCGTAGTGCTTCAATCGATAAATAAAAGACCTAAACTTTTGTATAAAATAAACTTAAAACAAACAAAAGGAATTCATCCGACGCGGGGGACAGATCAAAGGAAAAACAAAATTGTTATTTTTATTTAATTCCGAGCATTTTCATATTTATCTATCTTTTAAACCTCCTCTGGACTTTTACCAATAATTCAAGACCCAAATTAGCCAAATCGGTCCAGCCGTTCTCGAGTTTTAGCGAGACTAACGAACAGCTATTCATTTTTATGACACTCTGGCCATTTCGATCGGGAAGCTGTTATGAAGGAAACAATGGCTATCCAATACCAATCCAGGAGAGAGCGTCCTAGAAAGACTTGGATGGGTTGCGTGAAAGAGGATATGCGACAAAAGGCTGTGTAGTGCAGTTATGAAGTATGATAAACCTGAATAGAAGATGAGGACATGCTGCAGGAACCCATATAGTGGGAGAAACGAAGAAAATGTCGCTACCCAACAGTTGTGATTCAGATTGCGCTAGAGATATTCTCGCACTGAAGCCCATTGTTCTGTTAGTATACGGAGGGTAATGGAGTTTGTATCTTATTGGAAACGTGGGAAAAACGCTTTTAATGACGTTAATATAAGGTTGCGTGTTCAGATCACGTCGGGGTCGCCAGTTGTAAGTATAACAAGAAAAGGAAGATCTTCCAGCGAGCGGGTGATATTTCTCGGTAGACCGACGATCCGTTTTTTTTTTTTCTCCTACCTATGTTGATAGCCTTGAGAGGCTATTTCAGCTTCGCCCTAACATGTAGATGAGCTCACGAGGCTCAAACAGGAGTGTTACTAATACTGTCCCTAATGAGAGCAGTGCTTCGCAGAATCTACCATCGGATCGGAAACGCGACCCACTGATAAGATCCGGCGAAAAACTCAGTGGGCTGTGTCTATGGGTTAATTCGCTCGTCGAGCCCTTCGTCACAAGCAACGGGTTTGGCGAGGACAGCCTCTCTTAAATACTCTCTTTCTAGGGACTAATAGCTCTCGTAATAGTGTTCACATCAACATAGACGGTCCGAATGTTGTTATTCGGAACTTGTATATATGTAAGCTTATCTTGAAAATGTCGTAAGCGAGATTCAGGCATCTGTCAAATATCTTGCGTTGTATGATGGTTTTCATTCTTTATTAATCGCCAAAATGATGCACAGGAGAACCTTTAGTGGTGTGTTTATTTCGGGAGCTTAGAGACGTCGCCTTTCTTACATAGCCGACGCTAACGTCTACGTCACGGTATTCCTTCAATGTATTTTTTTACCGACTTTAAGACGATGACAATACCGATAATTTTATAACTTTTGCCAAACTTTCACATAGAAGAAATATTTTATATTTTGAATTTTGTAGAAATATTTTGATTTTCAGTTAGGCTTGCTATTTCAACGTGCTTAGCTTATAAACTAGACTCACTTATATATCATGTAATATTTCCATTTCTTCTGTTGTTTTTAATATTTCTATAAATGAAACTGATTATCTATACTAATATATAAATATACAGTGGTTTTTACGGATGTTCCGTTATAACTACTGAACCGTGCATCCGATTTACTTGAACCTTGGTATCCATGTAGAAAATACATGTAATTAATATTATCAAATTGAAGTGCCCAGCGAAGCGGACGGGTACAGCTAGTCTCCAATATAATTGCTTTTTTTAAACCTGTCTATAGTCAGTGAACAAAAAAGAAACCTTTTTTTGGGCAGTCGAGCATACGGCCCACCTGATGGTGAGTGGCTACCGTCGCCCATGGACGTCACCAATCCAAGGTGCAGAGCCAAGCCGCTGCCTTTTTTTATTTTATTTTTATTGCCCTTGTAGGCAGACGAGCATACGGCCCACCTGATGGTGAGTGGTTACCGTCGCCCATGGACTTCAGCAATGCCAGGGGCAGAGCCAAGCCGCTGCCTACCGCAAAATGCTATGACATACACAGCAGAACCCAGTACAACGTTTTTATCTTTGCCTAATTCATAGATATATCACATTCTTTAAGCGCTTTCGTATTAAAATCTCGATACACTTAATCGCTCGCTCAAAAAAAATAATCACTTACCAGCTTTCCGTACATGTTGATTCTCTCACGTTAAAATTGAGACTGATACCAATGCCCGGAGTCTGATGCCTTTTATACTCCAGCCCGCGTAGGGTTGGAAGTGAATTGGCAAGTTTCTAGTTGTTTCTCGGCTGTGAAGACAATACTTTACGCTTTAAAAACTGTTCGCTAAATGCTAGCGCGTCGAAGACCCCACGCTGCGATCAGACATGAGGTCGCAACCTCAATTGTCCCAAAAATAAATCCTACTTCTTTAATACGTGAATCAAAAACTTTGTATCCCATTTTACGAAAATTGCGCAGACGGAGGAGTATGAAATTTCCCACACTTACAGAGAATATAGAGAATGAGTGCAGAATGTTAATATCTTCCTAAATTATGCATGCGCATATTTGTTTATTGTCAACCTATTTTTATTGCTTAAAGTCTGTGGTCAAATTGACAATAGATTGATATTGTGACTTTTTGGCGGGAACGCGAGGAGTGAAGTTGTGTGATTTGTTTTATTTTGTCTATTTAGTGTTTCTTCGAGTTTAAATGTGTAATAATGGTGGTTTATTAACTGTTTAATATCTGTGAAAGTGCACAAATATGGGAAAATGAAACAAAGCTGTTGGACGTAACTTTTCGGGATCCTCCAAAAAGTCCACTGAAAAAATCTTAGTAAATGACCACCATTTTACTGAGATTATATTTCATTCCATTTCATTTCATCCCAGTTGATTAATGTCTCAAATTAATCATCTTCATTTCATTTCACTACATATTATCATTTTTCATAAAAATATGAATATAAATTAAAATAAGACATGACCTAAAGGTCTCAGTTACCAAGTCATAAAATCCCTTAAAAAAAAAAATTTATATTGTTTGTCTATTAATATTCGTCTAAAGTATAGTCTTGGTGAAATCTGTGATTAGAGAAATAAAATAGTCTTTGACAATAGAATCATAATATTGTACAAACTTATAATTTCAATTAATTATTATAGTCGAATTTCGACTACTGCGGGACCCCTAGTATGTAATAAATACGTAATGTTTATAAATTTTAATAATGTAATTGAGTTACCTTTTTTTATGTATTACAATTTTTATGTTCAAAGGTTCAGGTGCCTAAGGTAGACCGCCAGAGAATGCCTATGGCATTAAGCCCGCCTTTATACTGTCAAGTATATAAAGTTATAAATAAATAAATAAAACCTTTGAAACTTTTTAGTTTTAAAAGTAAATATATTTTTCTTAGATAGATTTACTGAACTGTTTATCGTTGAGAAAAAAAGAGAAGTTGAATTTTACATAATTCAATAATACTTGGGTAAAATAATAATTTAATAAGGAAAATAAAGGCTTTAAATGTTATTTTCTTAATATTTTACAGAAAACGCAATTAAATATTTTATTATTGTTCAATTATTTGAGAATAAACTTTACTTTTTTTATTGTTTAGATTGGTGGACGAGCTCACAGCCCACCTAGTGTTAAGTGGTTACCGGAACCCATATATATCTACAGCCCATCTGATGGTGACTGGTATCGTCGCCCATGGACATCAGCAATGCCAGGGGCAGCGCCAAATCGCTGCCTACCGCTTAATACTCTCCACAAGCCTCGTTTGAAGAAGGACATGTCATAGCGCTCGGGAAACACCGTGGAGGGGAGCTCATTCCAAAGCCGGATGGTACGTGGCAAAAAAGATCTCTGGAAACGCACTGTGGATGCAATTTATTAATATATTTTATAATTGTTTATGTCTACGTTCCCCACATATGTGTAATTATTTGATGTGTTATTTTTATTACTCAAAATTTTTTATTATCTTATATGTTAAATCTTGTAACGCATGTTTTTGAGCGTAATAATAATAATAGTTTTGAGGTCAATTATATACATAGTAAATCGCATTTTGGTCCTCACGATACAGGCTATGCCTAGTGTGAGGATCATTGGTTAATTTTATATTGTTGATGCCATCTGCGTAATCTCTCAGTTTGTTAAATATGTAAATAGTATTCTAGGTCATGATTTAAGAGTTTATGTAGTAAATAAAGAAATTATTATTATTATATTATTTATTAATTCTTGGTATTAATTTCACGTATATATATTTTCCTTCAAAAGTTTAAATCACATTGACGTCGCTATGTCCATTGGCTCGTTTCACGAAGGCAATAATCAAAATACAACGTACCGTGCATTAAAAAGTACTAGATGATGACCGAGCTTTGCTCTGTTTTTTTTTTATTTGATAACGCCATCTTGTTGTGTCTTTAAAGCGGCTAGTTGCCCTCAATTAAGAAAAATAGTATTATTATTCGCCAATAGATGTCGGGAAAAGTTGATTCTTGAAAACACGAATAGAACAACATTTTCTGAAAATAAATCGTAGCTAGATCGATTTATCGCCCCCGAAATCCCCTGTATACTAAATTTTATGAAAATCGTTGGAGCTGTTTCCGAGATTCAGATTATATATTTACATGAATATACAAGAATTGCTCGTTTAAAGGTATAAGATATTGCTAACATTAATATCGAGGGAACGTTTTTTAAGTTGGCCGCGAGTCGCCAGTATTTTACTGATGGTAGGACCTCTTGTGAGTCCGCGCGGATAGGTACCACCACCCTGCCTATTTCTGCCGTGAAGCAGTAATGCGTTTCGGTTTGAAGGGTGGGGCAGCCGTTGTAACTATACTAAGATCTTAGAACTTATATCTCAAGGTGGGTGGCGCATTTACGTCGTAGATATCTATGGGCTCCAGGAACCACTTAACACCTGGTGGGCTGTGAGCTCGTCCACCCAACTAAGCAATAAAAAAATTTAAAAGTCATTTTAGAATAAAAATTTTTATTTTTTATTTCTTAGATGGGTGGACGTCACAAAGATCTCTAAACGCACTATGAATACAATTCTTAGTATTAATTTCAATCGGCGACTTGATTCAGTATCTCTCTTTTCACGTAAATATTTTCCTTCGAAGGTTTAAATTACATTGACGTAGCTGTGTCCGTTGGCTCGTTTCAGGAAGGCAATAATCAAAATACAACGTACCGTACATTAAAAAGTACTAGAGGTCCCGCAGTAGTCGAAATTCGACTATAATTAATTGAAATTGTAAGTTTGTACACTATTATGATTCTATTTTCAAATACTATACTTCTATAATCACAAATTTCGCCAAGACACACTATAGAAAACTATTAATAAAAACAATATTTAAGCTATTCTCAATTTGACCACAGACGTTAAGAACAATAGTTTGACAATAAATAGTATGCATGCGTGTGTGCGTCGAATACATAGTGTGTAGTGTGTGTAATGTTTTCTTTATTGATTTAATGTATCTTTTATGCATTATTTTAAGAAAATATTAGCATTGTGCATTTCTTCTCTGTATTCTCTATAAGTGTGGAAAATTTCATACTCCTCCGTCCGCGCAATTTTCGTAAAAGGGGATACAAAGTTTTTGCTTCACGTATTAATATATAGATACAACGTACCGTACATTAAAAAGTATATTCCTAACATTAATATTAACGAAACGTTGTTTTAATTTGGCCGCGACTCGTCAAAACCGAAGAAAAACAACCAAAACTCGAAATAAATGAAAGAAAGAAAAAATATATTATATATCGCAAATTAGCATATGTCAAAGTGTTCAAGGATTGTCGATATCGGCGCGGAACTGTATTCGCGTCTGTTCAATTGCGCTTGAACAAATGCGATGAAATATTTTATATGTTCCACGGTGAGTGCTTTTTATTTTTATAATTGAAGGATTACTGGTGGCCCGGAGGCCTTTCCAGTTTCACCAGGACAGGTGGGCGAGTAAAGGCTCCGCCAGAAGGGGTGGGATTTTGCTAACAGCTGCCCGAGCGCCTCCGAAGGAGACTTAACAGCTCAAGAGCAGCTGCTTCGCGAATGAATCTACTACCGGATCGGAATCGCGACCCGCTGAGAAGATCCGGCGAGAAACTCAGCGAGCTGATTCATGGGTTAGGTTGCACGTCGAACTCTTTGTCGAGTTCGACGAGTACGGTTACCGGGGTCCCTAAGCCTGCTCCTAGTGTTAGAGCTGAAGGCGTTTAATGCAAAGGTTATTGGTTCTGATGGATCCATAAGGACGTGACGGGGAGTGCTCTGAGGAATTGTTTGAGATGATTCCATCATCTAGTCTTAGTCATTGCACCGCCCGCCACCGGAGTAGAGTTCATCGATACTAGCTGGAGCCACTGCGTTCATCCACATTGCGTTTCCAGAGTACTTTTTTTGCCACGTACCTTCCGGCTTTGGAATGAGCTCCCCTCCACGGTGTTTCCCGAACGCTATGACATGTCCTTCTTCGAACGAGGCTTGTGGAGAGTATTAAGCGGTAGGTATTGCTAAAGTCCAAGGGCGACGGTAACGACTCACCAACCGATGGGTCATTCGATCGTCTGCCTACAAGGGCAATAAAAAAACTCATCTAAAGATCGGTCTAATACAACACGACTAAATGGCCTAATGAAACTAAGCCCTTAAGCAGTTCAAGTATATCCCGAGTATCCGAAGTCAAATTGTTGTTTTTTATTGCATATATGGTGGGACGAGCTCACGGCCCACCCGGTGCTAATAGATTACCAGAGCCCATAGACATCTACAACGGCTGCCCTACCTTTCGAAGCGAAGTTCATTACTGCTTGACGGCAGAAATAGGCAGGGCGGCGGTACCAACGGCTGCCCCACCCTTCGAAGCGAAACGCATTTCTGCTTCATGGCAGAAATAGGCAGAGCGGTGGTACCTACACGTGCGGACTCACAAGAGGTCCTACCACCGCACCGGTGGCCACTGAAGCGAAGTAGGAATAGAATATATATAATTTTATTAGTGCACATAGCTCATCAATCAAAAGGCAATTGGGTTTTTGTGATAAATAGAAAGATCATATTATATTAGTTTTACTGGTGGTAAGACCTCTTGTTAGTCCGCACGGGTAGGTACCAGCACCCTGCCTATTTCTGCCGTGAAGCAGTAATGCGTTTCGGTTTGAAGGGTGGGCCAGCCGTTGTAACTATACTGAGACCTTAGAACTTAT